CTTGCTAGGGTATCGTTTGTTTCAACCTCGCTGTTGGAATTTGTGTAGTTCCATTCATGTCTTGTTTTGTGTTTTTGTCCGTTTCTGTATCTTGTCTTGTTTGTGTCAAAGTCTGTCCGAAGTACCTTGTGTTCAGTCGCTAGGGTTTGCATCTTTTTTAGTTGTCCGCATTTCTTCCCTTGCTGTCCGTGTGTTGTTTCTTTGTTCAAATCATGTTTTGTCTTGTTTGGTGTTTGATTGTCTTGTTTCGTGGAGTCTTGTGCTGTCTAGAGTCAAAAATAACAAAAAAATTCTGGTTGTACCTCTTTTCTTAGATAATCTGTGGCTATTTTCCTTATGTTTCAAGTGTAATCTATGGCTGGTTCTCTTGTTGATCGGAAGTACTTGCAGTTCTGGATTTCTAGACCTAAAATCTTGAATTTCTTGAACAACTTCATGAAAATCTTGAAGTTCTTGAGTTACAAAGTAGGGTTTCTTGAGAATTTTGAATCAAAGTTTCCAAATCTTGAACTTTTGAAAATCCTAAGCTCATTTTCTTGAACTTGAAGTTGCGGCATTCTTGTTTCTTAAAATTTGGTGATCTGAAGTGAAAAGAAAAGAAAGGAAGAAGAATCTGGTCAGTTAAAACAAAAGGGAAACACAATCGGACCACAACCTAGAGTTTAGAAACAAGAAGACAAATTTGATTGGAAAACCAAGGTTGACTTGAAATTTGTTTCCAAATTCAGGACTTTTAATCCTTGTTGGGTTTGGTTTACTTTTTCCAACTACAAATCCAAAATATACTTAGAAAACATCCTAAAACAGTATCTTGCTTCTTAGGATTGAATCCAAAGCCATTTGGATTAGCTTCCAAAATTTCTAGCAACAAACACAATCAGGTAGAGTCATCTCTAGGTTCCAAAAATTTCTACTGAGTTGAGCGTGATAATGAGATTGTGGGGCATGAGGTAAAAATCAAGAGAAGTGACAAAGCAAAAGAGAGTGAACATTCAAAAGAGTTGAGTGGAGAATATCCTACAAGTGAATCGGCCATAGTGGAAAGAAATGAGAGAAAGCAAATATTTATTGCAAAATCTAAGGATGTGAGGAGAGCTTATGGTTTTACTAACGATCTTAACTTTGCTTTGGTTAGTGTTTCTTATTTTGTGTAGGTTAAGCAAAGTGTAATCGCATTAATCTTAAATTGTTCCATTTCTATATTCATTGGAGAGTTAAAGAACTTTCATGGAGTTTATGTCTTAAGTGTTGTTTCTTGTTGCTATCAACATATAATTAATCTCTCATCTAGGGTTAGTTTACTTGTTGATAAGCCAAATGTCATTTCAAAGGCGTAACTACACTTGAGTTTTGTTCTAAACTTCCATATTATTTAGATAATGATGTTCCATACTTTCATTGTCAATTTTTTTGTCTTTACATGATGAAATTTGTCTCTTATTTGCAGATTTTAAAAGCTTTCCATTTTTGTCTTGTTCCACCTGTGCAATTTGTGACGGCTAAACAACAACTAGTGGTGGATTTTACAACTTTGCACAACCAGATTTGAGGGTTTGCTAGCCTAATTGAGTATTGTTATGAAGATCCTTAACTAGTAGATGCAAATGGTAAATTTTCGACTGATTTCACATCTACTAATACTTATTGGGTGACTTCTTGCATAGGTTCAGATTTCACAAACCATTCCAAAAGGCTGATTCGAGCGCTTATGGAAAATGGTTATGAGGGACAAAGAGCAGAGTGGCTCTATAACCAGCTTCGTGCGCATTGGTTCATACCTTTGTTGAAGACTTTACTTGTGTGCTTCTTGCAACTACATAAGCGACATGCAACTTGGTATGTTCTCACAAAGGTGTTGCCTGAGCTGTTACATTCTTTCCAATATATTGATTTGTGAGCAAATTGCTTTCAAGAGGAGGGGAACGGCGAGAATATGGGATCAATGATGTTCAAGTCATACGTTTGGTTGATCCATTGAAGCTCAACAAACCCGCATCCCTTCCTTAGTTTTAGTGTGTTTATGTTAGTTATAATTGTTATTAAGTCATCATATTTGAGTGTTTTCTTAGTGTCATTTGTTTGAGTTAATTCCAGCAATATTAGTTGGATAACTAGTGTTAGTTAAGAGTTAACTCAAGTCATTAGTTTGATGGAAATACGCGGCTAAGGTCATGTTGACAATAATTGAGCCGATTTAGAGTTAGGTTTTATTAGCTTAAGCTGGACTGGAGTTAGGTTTTTGAGTCTTATAAAGACTATAAATAAGTTTCACGTTCTTTTACATTTTTATTATTAGACATGGAATAAAAATTAGAGAAATTTTCAGATTTCTTTCTTGTGAGAAAGAACTTTCTTGGCTTGTGAAAGCCAACCTTGAGAATTTTAGAGTAGTCCTAAGGTGATTTCCGACTTATCAATCAAGTAATCATCTTGATTGTGGTGTTGTTATAACCATTTTAATCTTTTTTGAGCGGTCCAAGATTGATTAAGAATATCCATCCCAAACATTGAATCTCAATTCTAGATCCAGGCTTGTGGTCAATGTTCTTGATTTGTCTTGGCATATTGAAAATCGTATCAAGAAGGTATAAATTAAATGCAAAGGAGGTTGTTAGTATGTGTATATATATGATAGGTTAAGTAAATATTAAGTGAATGAATTTTAAATATGTTAACGAGTGGCTAATAGGCATCTGTTAGAAAAACACTAATTTTAAAAGGATTTGTGTGACAAATGTATGTTACATTAGAAAAGTGGCTAAACAAGAGTAATAGTAGATAGCAATGTTAAATTAGGAAAGTATTTAAATGAGAGTCATATATAGTGAGTGTACATTCAAATAGATTCAATGTTTCTGTATTTAGGTATGGCAACGGTCCCGCCCCCGCCTCCCATCCCTCACGGGATAGGGGTGGCAATTTCCGATACGACCCGAAAACACGACACGAATCTAACACGAAATTAATGGGTTTGAGTTGAGGTTTCGGGGGTTCAGGTCAGAATCGGGTTGAACCCGATGAACCCGAAAAGAAAACAGGTCGATTTCGAGTCAACTCGTGGGTGACGTGATATGACTCGATATGACCCGTTTACGAATTAATAATTTAATAAACATAAAAATTATTTTATCTAACTAAACTAAGTTATTGTTTTTTTTCAAAGGCATTAATTACTTAATCCTAAATGAATTTATTTAACTTGTGTGAAGTTGAAATTATTATATTTGAACAAATAATATATTATATTATTTTTTACTGTTATACTGTTTTAATTTATTTTATATTTGGTTTGGGATAAAAACACTTTTACGGTGTTTAATTTTATTTGGATTTGGTTTGGAATTAGTTATTTAAATTTTTATTACTTGATTATGTAATTAATTTTGTGAGGAATTGATTTTATTAGAAATTACAGTGATAAATTAATAAATTAAAATTAAGTTTCAGGTCATTTCGGGTTGACCCGCTAACCCGAAATTTTCGGGTTCGTGTCAGGTATCCTGACCCGTTTCGGGTTGGTGATTGCCACCCCTATCGCGGGACTAATAAAAATTTGTTGTATAATTTTATTATAGTCAAATTTTGACAAATAATCAAATACTAACATATCAATACATCTCAAAATTATTATCTATTGTAATTTCACAATTGCAACTCATAAAAATAATTAAACAAAAACTATTTGAATAAATCTAATATGATGAAACAAATACAACTAAAATAGTCAAATTTTCACTTTTGATACAAATACAATCACTAAATCATTATTGTATTTTTGTTGACAAAAAAGTGTTGTTGTATCAAGTGTAATTAGGAATTTAGTATAAATATATTAGTAAATTTATTATAACTAATTAATAATTTCTATTAGTAGACATGTATAATTGATAATATCAATTACATATACTAATATACAATATATAATATATATAACTAATAATATTATTATTATAAATTTATAACTAATTAAATTAAATATTATATAATAATTATATACATACATATATATGTATTTTTATATGTATTAATTTTTTTAACGGGTGGCAGGACGGGGAACAGGGTGGAGCAGCCCTGTTTCTAAACAAGGAGAAAAAATTCCCTTGCCCCGCCCTGCCCTACCCCCACCCCATTAGGCCCCGCGGGGCGGATGCCCGCAATTGCCATCCCTATATGTATTTATCACGGTCCAAATCTGATTGCATCCCTTCAGTCCAATTTGAGTCTATTTTAATTTTTTTTCATCTTGAATTTAACGGTTCAGATTGGCCTAAGAAGATGCATGATAGGACCATGAAAAGCAATAGAGTGGATTATAGAGGATCTGTGCTCATTGCTAGTTAAACACGAATGTTTGATCTTAAGCAAGGCATAAGTTAACCAATTTATCCTAAATTTTCAAATAGATAGTCATAAAGCCACTAACTCACAATCCACTTGAGACCATATTATTTCTGCATTTGACTATATACATAATAATAACTTAACTTGGAGTCGTTAAAATAAACAAATGGTTTGTTTAACGGGTGTTCATAGGGCACTTGTATCGTACCGAAACATATCTAATCCAACTCAAACTCTTTCTACAAGAGCCAAGGGCTGATTTGCCACACTTCAGCAGCATACTATTTTTCCAGCATACGTTTCTTGGTAGATCTCCAAATTTTTGAGTCACCCAATAACAAGAGTTTGTTTCCATACTAGGCATCTCAACAACTCGAGGGCTTGAAAGTGCACTTTTTTTCTTTGACGAACTTCCTTGCTTCCTATGATTGGATTATGTAGCTTGTCATTTAATGAAGTTTAGGCTTCAATGGATGTGATACTAGAGGTATATGATATCATGTATGACACCAACTTATTTCTCCATGGATCCAAGCAGTCCAGTGGGACTGCAATCATAAGGAAAAGAAATCAGACATACTGTTGATTTCTAAAGCACGAAGTGCAAAAACCAGACAGTGAGTGGATTTCCTGCAACTTAATTTCCTTATATGGAATTGTTGGGAAGTAAAGAAATGTTACCAGTAATGCCTGTAATAGTGATGTTACAAATTAAACAATGCAAAGTCTAGATAATAGTAGTAATTTTTAACTGAGTTGACAACAGTTAGTGAAGAGGACAATCAATACCAAGAACATTAGATCTGATGATGGACTGCTATCACCAAAACAAACTAAACCACCTAACTTGAAGCTTGGCTCAGAGCATTAGTTGGTTGTTCATAATCTGTTCACAGAAATATCTGCAATAAAGCGCCCAAACGAGATTAATGAGGAGCCACCATCCATCAATGCCTTTCTACCCTTTTCTCCTAAATCTTTGACCCTCTGTCTTACTGGATTTTCAGAATCCATTAACCAGTTAATGGCTTTCTCTATTTTATCTGCCACTACAATCTCATCAGAGTTTTCAAAGCGGTAATCCAATGTCAATTCTACAGCTAGTTCCAGATCCTTCACCAACTGAAATGCATTAGATTGCTGCTCACCATAAACAGGCCATGTTGCAATAGGTACACCATTCCACAAGCTTTCCAGGATAGAATTCCAACCACAATGAGAAACAAAACCTCCAACTGCATGATGTCTCAAAATCTCCACTTGTGGTGCCCAACCACACACCAGTCCTCTATCCTTCGTCCTCTCCAGAAACCCTTTTGGCAGAACATCTGAAAAATTGGCATAGACTTTTGGTTTTGCAGTGAAGTCTTTTGGTGGTGAAGGCTGGACAGACCACAAGAATCTATGTCCACTCTGCTTTAGAGCAATTGCTATTTCTGCTAACTGTGGTGGCTCAAAACCTCCAATGCTTCCAAAGCAGAGAAAAACCACAGACGAGGAGGGCTGATCATCAAGCCATTTCATAATCTTTCGATCAGACTCAGAAAGCTTTTTTGTTATGTCAAGGTTTATCACAGGTCCAACTGTGTAAACTTGAGGTGATTCCTTATCTGCTGTTAGAAAATTAATGGCATGGGATTCTAATTCTGCAAATGTGTTTATGATGAATCCTTTTGCCTTTTGAAACTGCGTACCGTGACTTAAGAATGACGAATAACCACCATGTTTATTGAACAGAAAAGATGGTAAAACTCCTGAGGGTACAAGGTTAGCAAATGCTGGAATGCTGGAATCGGGATCAGAGATGCTAAATTCAGTTCCACTCAGGGAATGACGAATTGGGAGGTAAAGAACAAGGCCAAGAAACGCAGCACTTGAGGTGCAGAAGACATAAGAAGGAATACCAAGCTCATTCGCTACATCAATCATTGAACTGCAAAATAAATCAATCACTAACCCTGCAAGATGAGTTCCTGATTTGGGCAGAACATGGTTAATTATTGCATCTTTGACAAGACACTTATGCTTCTCTATGTAAGCAGCAAAGTAGCTCTCATTTGAACTCTTCAATTCGGAAGGTGGTGGATCTACCTTAGGTAAGCTGATGAATTGTATATTAGAGCTACTAACAGAGGCAGCCAATTCTTGAATGAAGGAATCAAGATCTAGTGATGATGACTTCATGAGTAGTACAGTTACTGATATTCCTCGGTCAACTTCAGATAGGCGCTTTGCAAATTCGATCTCGGAAACAATATGACCTCTTCCTGGTGCTGCAACAAAGACCAGCTCATTCTTCATATTTTCAGGTGTTAAAGTTTTAGGAATTCTTGGTTCACTTTCTCTTGGGGGAAGCAACAGATTCAGGCTGTGTTCTGTGCTGATTGGCTCACAACCTCAAAAACTGTGGCAAAGAACGATGGAAAACGGTGAAGTTTCCGATTCCATCAGTTTCCATAGGATTTGACCTTACTTAAGTTTATTGCAGTAAGCCTCCCCAAGGTTTACTCTCATTCGCTGGTTATCCCTTAAGGTATTTTTTGAGCCAGTTCTAATCCCTCTATTAAGTGTTACTGTTCTGTATTTACCTTGCTATAAATAAGATGCAACATGCCTAGTTTAGGAGCACATCCTCTGTTGCCAAGTTTCAGTACACAATTGGGGCACCAGTGACCAAAAAGTGGAAATTGCACATGTGGTCAAAGGATAATAAAATTTGAAAGCAGATAGGGTTTATGGGAAAAGCTTGCACCTGTGGTCTAACTTCTTAAAGTTTGATCTTCATTAGTCAACCCCTCCCCTAGCTTTTTTGTTTTTTCAAAGTTGTGGAACAACTTTTCTCCCTCAGATAAAGTCGGTACTTGCGGTCACTGGAAATATTTGGACGACGTGATTGAGGTACATACCTTTTACAAAAGTGCAAGAACATTTGAAATCATGGGTAAACTATTAATAACTCTCTCGTAGTTTCATCTATAATCATATTATATTCTAACATTTTAAAATATTCATTTCACCTCTCTACAATTTTATGTAAATTAAAAATTTAAAGAAAAATAGTCTATGTAATGTCATAATTAGTTGAAATACCAATATTGCTTTTACTTAAATACTAAATTAAACAATGACTTAGCCAGCTTGTACAAAACCATAAGAGGACTGCACAGATAAATACAAAAATTATAGGAGATAAAGTGGATATTTACACAAATTATGAGGAGTTAAGTGGATATTATGATTTTATCATGCGCACCTTTTAAAGCATGTATGATCTAATTGCCGTAATTAATTACATATTCAATTCATTTTTCACTTTACGTAAAACTATAAAGGGATTATGTGGCTTGAATGCTAGTGGTCTTTACTGATGCTTTAAAATCATAATGGATTTCCAAGAGGCTAGTATTCCTGAGAATTGTAAACGCAGAGAGAGAGAGAGAGAGAGAGAGATCAATAAGGTGTTGCATTCAGTAGATAAGTCTTCTTTAATGCTCAGCTAAAATGGAAGAATACATTTAATGAAATGGAAAGACCTGGATTTATTGGATGGAATGACTGTTGAAGTAGTGAGTACAATGAAAAGAATACATATGAATCCAACAGTAGTCCATAATTATTTTCATTTAGCTGATCTAGAAAAGAACATCTGTAGGTTCCTGGGCAAATATTCCTGAACCATAACTTGAATGAAACATGTCAGCTACCAGGGGAAACTGAGAAAATGCAAATAACAAGACAGGAATACAAGCAGCTAGTGCCACTGGAATGATAATCCATGCTATCTTATGGCCATGTACAATTGAAAAGCTTGCACTAAAAGCTATAAGCATGGAAGCTATGGAGAAGAAGAGTGTCATAAGGCCAATGATCAACCTCTTTGGTAATGTTTCCATGAAATCTACTTCTGCATACCGTGAAGTGAGAATAGACAAGAACATCAAGATTGAAGTCACTGATGAGAAGAGAGCAAGTGCATCGGATATGGAAAAGATTATGAAAGCTTTGTCTTTGAGAAAAATTGGTGTGCCTGTGTCATTATTATTGCCTCCAGGTACTGTGAAGATGGCTGCAAACATCACAGTGGTTATGAGTGTAGCAACAAGCATACATGATGAGGCAGTATCCTTCATCCACCTTTCTCCACTTTTAAGTAATGCCTTGTGCTCCTGAGTGAATAACATATGTGGCATTCGTCCTTCTGAATCCCTCATCTCCTTATACAACGGTTGGACATTCTTCTCTACCTCCTTTTAATGGTCAAAGTAATAACATAGTTAAACAATTACAGAAAGCAAGTTAAATCTAGGAAAGGAGACAACATGTGTGAACTAAGTCAGTTACCTTAAACCATAGTAACTCTCTCTGCATTTGTAGGGCTGCTCCTGAAACTATGTTTAATCTATTTGGGGCTGCTAACTTAGCAGCAAGGTGTAATATGTTACTGTTATTTGTGCTTTTGTAAGATGTAATCAAATCTTTAAGAGCTCCTATTTGGTAAATTAGTTTGAAGATCCTTTCTTGGCGGTGTATGACTGCAATGTGAAAGAAGCTTTGGCTTTGTTCATCCACCTTCCAAATGAGATCAGGATAGGAGCGCAGTAGCTCAACAATGAACTCAAAGTTTCCACACTCCGCAGCAACAAAAAGAGGTCTTGATGGACCTCTGAGTAACTTCCCAATTTGCGAGTCATCCAACAACATAACCTGTTTCCAAATGCATTTCAATAACTCGAGAGCTTGGAAGTGCTTCAGTTTTCTCTCAAATACTTCTTGGATTCCTAACATTCGTAAAACAAAACCTAGCCCACTTAGCTGATTCAAGTCAGTTGCTCAAAAAAGAAAAAACAAGAACTGTTGTTAACCATGCATTACCTATCTTTTCTGTTGCACGATGAAGAAGTCTATCGAACAATAGGTGCGCTGCAAAGATATATTTAGGAATATGTTCACTAACTGTAAAATAGATCAAATGCTGACTGATACTCAGTTTTTACTTTATAATGCTGAGTTCCCAGAAAATGGAGATAAATAGAGTAGTTTCTTGGAGCAGAAAATACTTGTCTCTCCCTTAGATTCTGTCATTCAGAAATTTTATCCCCTCCAACATATGGTGTAAATGTATACGCTTCAGCATTTACTCACCTCTGGTACATTTGTCATTCTGGTCTACCGTCTTGCTAAACTTATAAGAAGATTTCTTCCATAGGTGCAGTTTGACCCCTGAGAAAATATCTTAGCACATGTAACTGCTTGGTGACCACTAGTATAATTGGTTCACATGAAAATGCATAAATTCTGACTGCTAGTTTGTTTTCCCTACACATAACTAATCTTCAACACCATGCCAATAATTGCATGATAACTGCACTGGTGTAAAGACACTTTGTCTTGCATATCAAGGTTTCATTTTAGCAGTTTCAGTGCATGTGTGAGAGGAAGCGAGTGTGCAGGGCATACCATGACCTTGCATTCTTATTCAGAGTTTTCTATTCCTTTAATATTTTCTTATAGTTGGCATGAAAGGAAAGTTGTTCTGAGCATGGCTTACTACGGTAGAAATGGCAATGCTTGATAACCTTATTCATTTATACCATAGACAAAAGAAACATGTCAAAACAAATTTAGTCTTCCATAACCTGAAATTTCAAAATTAATAGATTTGCTGGACGAACACTTTTACTAGAAAATACACAAAGGAGACTGGTTGAAGGTGTCAATGGGAACAGATTAACCTACAAGGGTAAATGCATCTCTGCCAGACTCCCAGTCCATTCTTGGAACAGAATGCTGAAGGCTTTCGTGCCAAAACATGAAGTGCTGTCTCCCCGTTAGGATCACGTTCAACTGCCAATTCTGGTTTGCATTGAATTATATGCAGAGCTACATCTGAGGACAGCAGGGGAAACCAAATGAGCCTTATCCACTTACCCTTGGAATTAGTCAAATATTAAATGATAATATTGTCTTACCATATAGATCGGTACTTATAGTTGCAATAATCAGGCTAACGTAGTCTTCTTTGGTTAAACATTGAGGATCAGTTACTGACACAAGATACCACACCATATCTCTATAACCTAGTAAGGCTGCCATGTGAAGGGGTGTAACTCCTTTACTACCCCTCACCATTGGCAATTCATTATTCTTTGACACCATCAATTCTGCAATCCTTGTAATTCCAGATGCTGCTGCAAAGCAAAGTGCCGTGTTACCAAATTTGTTTTGTGCAGCCAATTCTGGTGGATCCATTAATTCAACCAACTCCTCAACAAACTTGACTTGTTTGGCACCAGCAGCAATGTGGAGAGCTCTTTCCCAGCCTTTAGTGATTGTTGCGGTTAAAGCCCCAGGATGCCTTGTCATAAATGCTTTAGCCCTTTCCCAATCACCCTTAAGCGCAGCTTGGTACAAGGGTACGTAAATGGTAAGATTTTTGGCAGATGGAGTGCCTGCATTTCAAAACCACAAGAGTCATAAATATTATCCACTGATCCTGGAACTTAGCACTTTTAAGAGCGCCAAAGTTGCAGTCTAAACACACGCCAAAGGAATTTTCTTTAGACTAACTGAAAAAATCAAATTTTGGTGAAATAAATGGAATTTATTCTACTTGTCTCCTGTCTGAGATGTATTCAAAACATTAACCGTCCAATAGCATAGTAGGTTGCGTCAGAAGTTCTGCAAAAGAACTCTTTAAGACTTTACTCACTCAGGAATATGAAAAGTCTGTGACAAGAGTGATAGACTCAATGGTATACACCAAGGGTAGATTATATCCTAATTATCACTCCCTTCATCCCTCTTCCTAGAATGAGGTTAGATTCTTGCTGTGATGAATTCCACCTCTCCCACTCTTTTTCCTGCCCGCAGCCCCACGCAAACACTGGCCACACAAACAGCCGCTTCAGAAAAGAACTTGAATAGAAACTCTTTTCTTCATTGTTCCATTTGATAATGCAACAGAGTTAATTGTAAAACAACCCCTCAAGTGGTTGTTTGTGATCCGACTAATCGTTCTCCCCAAGCTCCTAACTTCAGAACATGCATCTTTGTACCCTAACAATCTATTAAGATTAGCTTTTTTTTTTTTCCAACAAGTAATGCTCGACCATAATCTTAATCATACAATATGACTTGAAAAATGTATAGTGTTGAAAGGCAAAATATGAACAAAAATGCCATACATTGAAGACAAATGAGAAGGGCTTTCGGTAAATTGTGTGAAACAGAAGCATAAATTCAAGAATCAAGAGAAAAATTGAACAAGAAATACTCAACTGGCTTCCCTGCAGTATGGAGGATGGAGCATCTGTGCAGAAACAGTCCTATTATCATGTTCCATCCCATTCTGGATGATGTGATCAGATTGATCTCCAACGGGTACATTGTAAGAAAGCTGAACTGAAACAACATGTTGTGGAATGGTGGCAGTAGCATAGCCTGTTGCCTGATCAGAAGTTCCTGAGCCTGGACCAGAGAAGCTCTCTGGGAAGCATGATTGTATCGATAGAGTTCTTTCCAATTGCAGCTTCCTCACACCTGCCATTTTCTTTAACAACAAGCTTAACGTGGTAAACTTGTAGTTAAGTTAGTCCTGCGTTTACTTCACAAGTATAAATCAATCTGACAAAAGAAGCAAAAGCATTTTAGAGATCATAGGAATGAAAGGTTTAATAGAGCAAATGAACTGAACAAGTCAACCAAGTCACTTACTGGGAATTTCCTTTCTGTGTACTATTACCGAGTTAGGTGATAACTGATAAGGCATTTTTAGAAACTTTTTTCTCAAAATAAAATTGATTTTGAGACTTTTTGGATCATTCTAATTGGGTTATATTAACTCAAGTCATACTAATCTTGACTTTGTTATTTCCGCTATTAATGCGGACATTTGTTGATAATAAAATTTGTGGTTGTTTACAAATTTTTTTTTTTTTAAAAAAAAAAGAGAGAAAATTTTGAGAAAATACGAGAACTTTGTAGGTTTTTGCTTTGAGATAATGAATTTAACAAAGAATGAAAGACACTAAGCTGATAATTTGGTATTCATTGGAAACCTTTGCTTTCTTGGCTATTCTCCAAACCAAAATAAAGTCTATCACTTCTTTCTTATATCTTCTTCCTCCTTTTCTTTCCTCATGGAGGAGCCAAAGTCTAGTCTTCATGGAATTAAACTTTTGCTTACTTTTCTCAGAGCAAGTAAAATAGTTTCTCATACATACAATACAAGTGATTGATAGAACAAATTTGGACCTCAGGAAATGTTGGCATCAGCATACCAATTCCATCCTCACCACAGAACACGCTATTCCTTCCTTATCCAAAAAACGAAGAAGTAATACTTTCTCAGGCATTTCTTAGATATGGTGGCAACGTAGTTGGGACGTTCGTACGTGGAAAAACTTTGCAAGGCCCTTCATTTTCTTTCCAACAGAAACAAAAAAGGATTACGTCTTTGAAACACGGTTTACATTTCCAATAGTCAAAATGGATGTTGGAATTATTTGTCAAGTTCCCTAAGAGATCAGTTTGCATTAAAAATGTCCTTCTCTTGCAAAAAGTTTTCTCCAAATATAAAACGGGTTATCCTCTAGAGAGAAAGGATTATATTGCATGGTAGAATGGGGAGAATATGTAAGTAAAGGGACACATCTACAAACATTAAAATTTGGTCTGAAATTTCAAGAAATTGAGACAAAAAAAAAAAAGAAGGAAAAAATGCATTAAGAATATCAAAAAAGTCTCATGGTGTCGTAGGTTTGCGCTATCCCAATATTAATTTCTTTTGGGATAATTTCAGAAAGCTCCCTTGAGATTTGTAACAATTTCATTTCGCATCCCTGAACTTCAAAAAATATCACTTGTCTCCCTTGTTTTTAAATTTTTGTAACATTGCCAACCCATTTCAAAATATATTATTAAAAAAGTTCATTTGTGGATAGAGAATATAATTTCATTCTAATATTGTCCCTTTTCTTGTGAACCATTTTGTTTACATAACAAATATAGTTAATCTCTTAAATTTTGAACACTTGGCCAATGTGATTTTTAATTAGGAATTACAAAGTGTTAATAATGTTGAAAGACCTATTATTAATTTTGTGTCATTAGTTTGCACAAGAACTATGATAAAATTTTGAAATTCTAAACAGAGTGTCGACCATAAAAATGCAAAACAGCAAAAGCTTTCCTTTCAATGTGTGAACACTTTATTACCACGAGGATGGAATTTGACGTGAGATTTGTACGAAGACCCGCCAGGACCACGAAAATTAGCATGTAGGTCCATCTATAGGACCAAGACATTACCAAGAAACTCTCTGTTGGTGGTTGAGCCTTAAAATAAATAAACTGCAACAAAAGGTCCTGAGTGGAAGAAGACTAGGGAACCTCCAAGAAGACGTTGAGTGTAAATTTTGGGGCAAATTATATTTTACCTCCACGTGGTTTAGCGTTTTTTATATAACCTCCATATGATTTCAAAAACTATACATAACTCCCTCATGGTTTGGATTAAAGTGTCAAAGTGACGGAAATAGTCACTCGTAACGGAACTTCTAAAAATGTCGAAATTATCCGTATAAATACATGACACATTAACCCCGTATGATTTTTTTATTTTACTATATAACTCCCTTATAATTTAATACTTTACTATATAACCCTCTTATGGTTTTTAAAATATACACATAACCCCCCTTGGTTAATAAATAATTTTCAACTTTACATAAGGGTATTTTTGACATTTTAGATGACTCCGTTACGAATGGTCATTCCCGTTACTTTAACACTTTAATCCAAATCATAAGGGGGTTATGTATAGTTTTTGAAACCATAGGAGGGTTATGTAAAAAAATGTTAAATCACAGGGAGATAAAGTGAAATTTGCCATAAATTTTGCTGTTCATACGACGCTATTGTATTCCAAAACGGCCCAAAATCATCTTGAATTTTTTGTGGCCAAAAACCATTTTGGGTTGTTTTCCATTTTTTGGGGAAACTATTGGGGTCTGAAACAAAATGGTTCTCCATTATTTTAGTGAAACCAAATCTATGTGGAATAGAATGTCCATTTCTTTTGATATTTCATTCATCGTAAAACTTTCTGAAATTGACACTTTACTTACGAAGATCTTTAGTTTTAATCTCCTAATGTATGATCTATCAACGAGACAGCTCGCCCTACGGGCGTGCTCCACCTGCATTTTGTAGCTACAGAGACAGCTCGAAGGGAGATATGAAATATCGAACTTCGTAGATTCATAGAAAATTATCAATAGATACGTGTGTCCGCACGTACTATGTTGTCCAAAATAGAATGTTTCTAGCGCACAAATGCCGACTATAGTAGCTAAAGAAGTTCAAGCTATTAGAGCTTGGAGTTGCTGGTTATAGATGTGCCCGACTGAACTAGAGTTTAAGAGTTCTTCCTCTTAACTGAAGTAATTCTTCCAATAGAGCTATTGAGCTAGGAGTTAGAAGATACCCTCGGGAGGGTGTTGGGAGGGGGGAGAGCGAAATGAGGGGGGTAGTGTTCCTTTCCTTTGCTTACTACATATACTATAATGACATGCTCTATATACAAAAAGAAAACATCGATTTCACTAGAACAAAACGAGAGTTTGAAGACCCACTGAATAGATTATGCCTCAAAGGGTCTCCTATATATGGCAATTAGGGGTAGAAAAAATGTGGGGAGGGATGGGAAGCTTAAAAAAAATAATAATAAAGAAAGATGGAAATTGGTTTAATTAAATCTAGCTATATATAAGCTAGCCAACTATTCACTTATGGGGCAAACATCAAAATTCTACATGGTTATCCTTTTGAATTTTAAGTAATGAAAGTTTGCTCTGAGTTTCAAGCTCCGAGCACAATATATAGCACCTTAGAGGATCCATATTCATATTGATAAACTTAAGTTTAATTGCTTTCAGTAGCAAACACTTGGGTAGATGTTTTATATAGATCTAGCGATTCAAAATTTATCACACTATCTCACAAATTCAACTGTTGAAGATGTGGCAAAATTTGAGTCATTAGGTTTTTAAGACCACCAGATTTACCCAAAATTTTGCCACTTTTAGCTATGGAGAAAGCCTAAGATAAATTATTGAAATTTCCAAGTTTTAGCTTTGCTTAAAGCCAGGATAAAGATTTTAGCACAAACGCTAATTAAACCTAAGGTTAATGGCCATGAAATTTGTGCAGAACCTAGATTTTCTTTTGTAGCATATGCAAAAATTTATTGTGAAACAATAGCTTTGATGTATTTACCCTGAAAAGTCCTGTTATATCCATGGTTTGAAGATGCCTGTGAGCCTATATCTTTTACATATCTAGAGGATTTTGAATCTCCATACTTGTAAATTAGTTTAATTACACGTTTGGAAATACACCAAATTGACTGCCTCTCAAGTCTGAGCCAATCTTGATGGCA